TGAGAAGCCACCCATTTTGGTGGGTCTGACAGCTCAGCCTCTGAGCATGAGCTGCATGAAGGGGAGTTGGCCAATCCTGGCAGAACTGACAGCTCAGGCTCTGATAACGAGAAGGTTGTTGAAATGGTCAGAGCTCCAGCTGCAGTCCAAGGCCCTGCTAGGTTGAAATTTTTTCAAGGGCAGCTGAAGGGCCTAGTCAACCAAGCTGTGGGAATGCAGAAGCGCATCAGCTACCTGGGTTGGGGGTGGGGTTAGGGTGGGGCCAGCTCTTCCAAGTTCAAGGTTGTGGCTTCCTTTATTGGTTCAATCCATTCCATATTTGGTCTTCCCTTTCATCTGCTTTCAACTTTGCCTGACTGCCTTCTTCAGTAAGTCTTGCCTTCTCATGATGTGTCAGGAGTACGACAGCCTGTTTTCTCATTTTTATCTGTAAAGTAAGTTTTGGCTTGATTTGATGTAGGGCTAATTTGTCTTTCTGCTGGTCCAGGGTATTTGCAAAGCTCTCTTCCAGCACCATGTTTCTAATGCATCAATTTTCTTCACTGTTCAGCTTTCACACCCATAAATTGTGATTGGGAATACAACAATTTAGATGATCTTGACCTTGGTCGCCTGTAAAATGGCCTTACACTTGATCTTTTCTCGTCCCTTCACCGCTGCCCTTCCAAGGCTCAGGCATCTTCAATTTTCTTGGTTTCAGCTTCCCTTTGAATTGATGAATGAGCCAAGGTATGTGAAATATTTTACCTTTTCAAATTCTTCATTATTAGCAATGAAGGTCTGTAATTCTTCAGTAAACATGATTTTTGTTTTCTTGATATTCAGACTTAGTCCTTGTTTTTGTTCTTTCTTCTTTCAAGAGTCATTTTTTGAAAGAAAAAAATTAAGTCATTGCTGCTTTCTGCCAGCAATATGAAGTCATCTGCATATCCAAAATCAGTGATATTTTTCCACCAATTTCCACTCCTTATTCTAATTCTAATCTGGCTTTCCTTATGATATGCATAATCTGCGTAAGGATTGAAGACAGGCAGATAAAATGCATCCTTATCTGATAGCTCTGCTTATGGGAAACCATTCCGTATCTTTGTTTTGTTCTAACTGTAACTTCCATCCTGTGATACAGGCTACGGATCAGGACAATCAAGTGCTGAGGCAAACCCATTCCTTGTAGGAGCATCCAAAGCTTCTTGGGATCCACACAGTCAAAGATTTTGCTGTGGTCTATAAAGTGCAAACTGATCTTCTGAAATTTTTGAGTGCTGCAGTAATCAAAGCATATGTGCGATATGTTTTCAAGCTCCTTTCCCTTTTTGGAATCCAGCTTTGACTTCTGGCATTTCTCACTCCATATAGAGCAGCATTCTGTGTTGCAACATTTTCAGCATCACTTTGCTTGCATGAGAGATTAATGCAATGGTCCTGTGGTTGCTGCACTCTTTTGCTTCTGCATCTTCTTTCTTGGGAACTGGATTATAAAATGAATATATCCAGTCTGTTGGCCATTGGTTTCTTTTCCATATTTGATGGCGTATTTCATTAGGATTTGAATATATTCATTTTCTGCAGCTTGGAATAGTTCTATTGGTAACTTATCTAATTCAGGTGCTTTATTCTTGGCAAATGATTTCAGAGCAGTTTTCATTAGGTTTTCTAATATTTCAGACTTCTTCCTAGGATTCCTTTTCAAAGAAGCCTGTCATCCTTTTATCTCTTCTGTATAGCTCTTTTGTATAATCTTTCCACATTCTTTTTATTTTCTCCTTGTTGGATAGTATGCTCCCTTGTTTGTCTTTTAGCATTCCTAATCCAGGTTTGAATTTCCTTTTGAATTCTTAGATCTTCTGGAAGAGGTATCTTCTTTTTCTCTTTTGTTTTTCTCTTCTATTTCTTTGCAGTGATCATTGTGATAGCTGTTTTTATTTCTGCATATAGTTCCTGAAAAGTTGCATTCAGAATTCTGTCCCAATTTCAGTTGCCTTTTGCTTCTCACCTGTACTTTGCAACTGTGAGCGTTTCTTCGGTCATCCATATAGGCTCTTTTCTTTCTTGTTGCTACTGGAATTGTCCTTTGACATTCTTCTCTAATATTGTCTCTGGTTTCAGTCCACAGTTCTTCTGGCTCATGGTCAACTAAGTTGAGCAATGCAAATCTGTTCATTATGTGAAGTTTAAATTCTTCAGGAATGTTAAGTTGTATTTTGGCACTATGTTTCCGTAGTAATCTTTTTTAGCTTGACTCTCATTTTGAAATTAAGAGCTGATGGTCACTGCTGTAGTCTGCTCCTGGTCTTGTTTTGGCAGTAAGAATACAGATTCTCCACTTTCTGCTTCCAATTACATAATCTGTTTTATTGCTGTATTGGTGGTCTGCTGAAGTCCATGTTTACAATCGTCTGAGCCATTGCTGGAAATATGTGTTTGCAATGAACAGTTTGTTAGCTTCACAAAATTACAAGTTGTTCTCCTGCTTCATTTCTTATCCCTAGGCCAAATTCTTCTACTACATGTGATTCTACTTTGTTTCCTACTTTTGTATTCCAGTCACCTAGGATTAGCAGCTTGTCTTATTTTGGTGTGCTAACAATTTTCTCTTGAACACCTGCATAGCAGATTTCAATTTCATCTTCACCATCTATTGTTGCAGTGTAGACCTGAATGATGGTTATGTTGATAGGTTTTCCACTAATTCTGATTGATATTATTTGATCAGATTTTGTATGATAGCCTCTTACACCCTGTGCTACATCTTGCCTCAGTATTAGAGCCACTCCATTTCTTCTAAGTTTGTCATTTCCAGAGTAAAACGCTTTGTGTTTGTCTGACTGGAAATTTCCCATTCCAGTACACTTTAGTTCACTCATACAAAGTACTGTAATGGTCATTCTTTCCATTTCTTGCTTTATGATTTCCAGTGTGCCTTAGAAAACTTGTCCAGGATTGCACGATTGGTTATTTTATTTTTCTTTAAAGAGCCTTTCCATTTTTTGAATATAACCCTCTGTCACCACAGGGCTACCATTATCTCTGTAACCCAAACAGGATTGCCCATATATTTTTAATAGGCACACTGACAATAAAATAAATACAGAAAAATAACATTTGAAATGAATAACCATGGCTCCTCTGGTAGAAAAGTTCTGCTTTAGGCCCTCAGGTTTTTAGTTGAGATTAAACTGCTACTGTGGAGCTTTACTCATGTGCATCTTCACAGGAAGCGCCAATAAAAGGAGATTGCTCAGAATCTCTGGCCCAAATCTCTGGCAAGGAAATAAATGCTATTATAACCATAGGACCACTGGATGTCTTAAATGGGGCAGCCAAGAATGACAAATAAAGGAAGCAAAGTATTTATGTATCTTATGCAGTTATTAGTTTATTCTTACTATCACAAGTTGTAGCCATTTCTAAACTACATCGCTTTAGACTAACATGAAGAATCACAGATTTCAAAGGTCTGTTACGTTAACAACTCCTTGCCGGTAAAAAGCTAGCATTTCCAGAAGTCATTGACTCAGACCCTCTCCCTGACATTTAAGGCTTTGTTTGTTTACCTATATGTGCAGGGGGCTTTAGACATGAAGAAGTATTCAAACATGTAATCAGCTTACCAGTGTTTGAAGTGGAACTGTTCAGAAGTGGGTATTCCATGCTCCTAGAACATTCCATTTTCCCATAGATCAGAGTATAGTTGCATGTGGACATCTGTAGGCATTTCACTATGTGCCACGAATGGGTGCAGCACAGGGTGACTCTGTGAGATGTTCCCCTTTACAGAGGACAGTTCTCTATTTGAAGGTTTCCTCTATGATAAAATCTGTCAAATTTAAAGCTATAGAACCATACGAAGAGAAAGTAGCAGGGGCCTTTAAGCTGCTCATCAACACGTAGCAGTTGGACAGGAGCCTGGGCAGGCACACAGTCATTACCAGTAAGGCAAAATGTACTGCTTTTCTGCTTGACTCATAGCTACGGTTTCTAAATGTGTATCGAAACAGTCGTGTCCTCTTGTCCTCTGCTTTTGGTGCAGTTCTTCTTCTTGGTGATGCATTAAGGGTCCACTTTAGTGAGAGTGGGAACAACCCATGCTCCAAGCTATACCCATTCAGTGTACCTGAAGAGCAGAACCTTCCATGCAAGAACAGGAACTCAACAAAAAGCAAGGTCCGCATTGCACGAACAAAGCCTGTCCTGCCATTGTACAGACAACCCATTTACACCGGAAGGGGCTTCACAGACAATGTTCTGAAGACAGGTAGGCCAATGGAAGCTCCTCTTGCCACGTGGTCACTGTGCACAGTTGCACATGGCACCTAGCCATTGTTTTCTACGAAATGCAACAAGCAAAATGACCTTACCTGAAGTTATAAGGAATTCTAGTAAAGTTTAAGTACAATGGAGGCACGGGGAATTGAGGGCACTATTCTTAGCTACCTCAGCTGGTGGTAGGTGGTAGGGCCCTCAGCAGCAGACCTATGCAAAGAGCAAAGAATGGACTGGATCTAGGGTCTGCCTTCTGGGAGGGGAAGAGGCTTCTCCTCACAGAAGTTTCCCCCACCCCACAGCTCACTCTATTCAATAGGGTCTATTGACTGTAGCATTTTCAGGGGGCTGGAGCAGCTGCTGGGGGAAAGAGCGTTGGAGAAGTCCACTTCCATCTCCACAATCAGGATCCAACCTGATTTCCTTGTAGTGTTCCCTGCATACCAGCCTCAAAAAGCAAAACAAAGAAAATACACACACGACCAAATAAAGATTTCCTTCAGCACAAGAGCCTGGTGGTGCTATAAAAGCCAGAAGAATTGTTATATTCTCTCTGTTTCACACATTAGATTGAGGGAGGTCATATCAAGCTCTGCCATAGGTGTGCATGTTTGCTGTATTTGCATCTTGTTGATTCAAGAAGAATGATCAATGATCAAATCAGGCAAAATTTGGCCCTGCCTACAATAGTCTTGTGAGCGAGAGGGAAGGAAAGACTTTCAAAAATTTGTACATACATTTAGCTGTCACTTTGTATCCACCTAGAGGAGGGTTGTGGCCTTCCACAGCATCAAAACCAGCTGATACCAGGACAACATCTGGCTCGAACTCAGAGGCAATTGGCATAATCACAGTCCTGAAGATAAAGAATACACAAGCAGTTACACAGAAAAATCATCATTAAACGTACAGATGAGCACAATATCGCAATCACATATTCTCTGGGTTGTCCCATTCTCCCCCTGTCCAGTTTTCTCTCTTTCTTTACTTTCTGGGGACATTTAAAAAAACGCACACACATAATTTGCAGGTACATATCAGAGGTTCTAACATTACACACACATCTGGGCCTATTTTATCCAGCTGCCTATAAAGACTGACTCTTCAAGGGAAGTGACTAATGGATTACAAAGAGAATACTGAAGTCTCAGTGGAAACCTGGATTGCTCCAGTTAGTGTGAACTTGGTGTAAATTTGAACTATAAATTTCTTTGGGGGAAAATGTTTGCTTTTCGAACTTATCTGTGCTCTTAACATTTTAAAATGTTTGTTAAGCTGGGGAGGGGGAACTTGCTTAGAAATTGGTGGGGGGAAGAACCCAATTCTTGTAATCAAAGCCAGGCCCCATTGTTAAGATTTTCCAAGGTCATGCCTAGCAGGAATTCTACAACCACAAACCAGTAATAGCACCCCCTGCTGGACTCAGGGAGAAATAGCTGAGTTTTGCATGTTTAGGGCTTTGAGATTATTCCCTTTCTGACATTTTATATCAACCGTTTTGGGATTGCTTTGCTTTTGATGGGCATGGAAAGCTGCACCAGCTCTACAACAAAATAAAGAGAAGCAGGATGTTTCAGGCCGTGGAATTTACGGGGACATCTGAATGTCTCAGTGGTGCAGCAAACCACTGTAAGGTGTTGTCTGTAGCAAGGTGGATGTGTACCATTTGGTGCTCTACTCCAAGAAGCAAATCATCTGGGCTGGCAAGAGTTTGGAACTAGTCTGACAGTGGAAAGGCAACAGCCAGCCTAAACCAGCAATCTCTGGAGTCTTGTTTGGCAAGTTTATGGCCCAGGACACCAGCCCTTGGTGAATGATATACTTGAGAATTCAAATACTTAGTCATTTTATCTGTCTCTATGTAGTGGGACCTAGAGATCTAACTGATTCTTTTCTAAGTCTAAACCTGAAGAAGGAGCAGAAGAAGCTGATTTCCAAAAAGTCCAAAAGAGTAAGTGATGGAGGATGGGACTTAGTCCCCCAGAGCATCCATATTAAAGTTGGTAGGTTTACATGTCAGCAAATTGTTCATCAAGGAAACTTCAACTGGGCCACAGATTCCTTTGAACAAGGGAAGGCTGGGAATTTCATTTGGCTCTATTTTTGATAAACATTTTCAAAACGTTGTGATTTTCCTCATAAACAGAATGGAAAGAATTTGAGATTTTTAAAAATTGAACATAGAAAAAACCAAAACTGACAGATCCATCCATCCAGGTATAGGAATCTGACTGCTTTGTTCTTAAAAGCCTGAATCCCAATGTATTTAACCATTTTGGGGGTCTTTAAATAGGATTGTCACCTTTTTATTCTGATAGGCTCCTCATCTTCAACAGTTACAGAGAAGGCAAGTAGAAGATGCTGGGAACAGCTGTTCCAACTTAACTGGCCAGTGCAGATGAATACTAATTTTGCTCAGGCGTGTGTGTGCGTGTGTGTGTGTATTAACAAAATATACAAACTTAACGAAAATTGCAGATGTCTTCATAAACAGGATGAAAGCAACCTGAGATCTTTTAAAAAATCAAATCTGAAATGCAGTGATAGTGACAGATTTGTTTATCCCAAGAATCTCCTATCTTTTGGGGTCAATAAGCACACTGGAAATTTTCAGGCAGGATCTCACTAAATGTCTACTATGGGGCTTACCTATTTATAAAATGCCTGTGACTTAGGAGCATGGTTGGTCACAATACATCCGTTTCTCAGAAGGCAAACTGGTGATTAAAAAAAGTAACTTGTCTAAGAACCTAAGCACAAGGCAGAGGTGGGGTCTGAGCTTCAAAACATGAACCTTGTACTTGCTTTGAACATACCAGCATCTCAGGTAAAAATAATTAGGTAATAAAATCAAAATCAAGAGCCAGGAACTCTGGTGGGCACCAATTTAAATATCTTGATACTCCAAGGTCTAGTCTTCTCCTGTCCAGTATCATTAGAAAATACAGTGGGCAGGTCTAGGCCATAGCAGATACTGTGGGCACCAGGAATAAGAAACAGGGGATAAAGTTCAGAACTGCAAATTAGCAAGACATCTTCCAGCTCAGCCTGCAAGAGCCCTATAACTTTGGATCTTTCTCCCCCAAGAACTATACTTTGCCCCATTTCCTCAATTGGGCCCTGAAAATGTTTTCACTCCATCAAGAGTTTCATTGGTTCTGTGGCCTAAGATTTACATTGCTTGATTCCAATTTAACTTGCTGTAACAATGGATCCTTTTGATTTATTATACTGCCAAGTTTTCATCGTGGTTTTTCTTTAGTGAGCTTCCTTATGAGAGCTTAGCCCTTAAAGGTTGAAGAGAAGTTGAAGTTGATAGAATTGCACCACCTAAAATTAATCCCCTGTACTGGTAATAAAAAGACTGTTATATTTCTTTTTCTGCTCTCTGCCCGCTCAGGGACCTCTGTACCTCAGCCAAAGCAAGAGACAGATCCAAGTTGCAGACGCCCTTTATATTTTCAGGAATGATGGTCAGCCATTGCTTCTTTGTTCCAGAATGTTAGCTGTTATCCAATACCTGCAACACCTACCAGTGATTCATGCAATTTGCAATCACCATTTCAAAACTCAAGTCTCCATACTTTATAGGTATCATGGCCACAAGATCAGGCCTAATGTTTGAGCTTCTTATGTTTCTTGCCCCAATTCCCTTCCTCTTACCACCTAGACTGATCAAACATTGTGGAGAACGCAAATGCTTGCACAATCTTCTGTGGCATTTTGCTTGGTCTCAATAAAGATATTGCCTACTTTGAATTTGGTTCCCTTTTCCCTTCTCTTTTCTGAATTGTGGATCTGATTCACCACAGTGTGATTAAAACATTCATATTTTCCTTCCTCCCAAGCCCTCACAGAGAGAATCTTCTTATAAAAAGGATACATGCATTCTGGTTTTCTATGTGTGGCAAAAGTGTCTGTTCCAAAGTATTTTTATATCGCAACCTAATATTAGAGTCCTCATTTCTGTTTTCTGCTAGGCTTCCCCCCTCCCTCTTCTTTTAAAAGTATGAGCAGAAAGACTATGGCTCATCATCCAGCTGAAGCACTGAGTTCATGCCAGAGCCTTACAACCCTTCTGGAACAGCTTCTTCCTTTCCAAGCAAAATAGCTCCTCCTTTATTTCAAGCTTGCTACCCTGCAACATGTTCTTGGGAAGCAGGAGAGATTCACAAAAGAAATGTCCCACTGAGTATCATTAATACTCTCCATCTGGGGCATTCTGTTGTCTGTAAAGAAGTTGCAGGATAGTTTCCAATTATTGGGAGAATATAAGGCATGTGGTCCCAGTATGCATGTCATATGCAAGACATTAGGGCGAGATAGAAACATGCATGCACACGCACGCAGACATGCGCACACGCACACACATGCACGCACACACACAGGCACACAGAGCAAAACAACAATCATTGTGGCACTTTGTTCAGTTACTGTTTCCCCTCAAACCTCACCCCTTTCAAGTCTTCTGTCTTTTATGGGTTTTATAGCATATGGGGCAGAAATGTTTTTGAACAGTCACTCTCTTACAAGATAAATGAAAATTCATCTGGGCAGCAAAGGAAGGAAGGGATAAGAAAGAAAGAAAGAAAGAAAGAAAGAAAGAAAGAAAGAAAGAAAGAACCCTAGTGAAAATTTCCAGACACAAAGACATGCAAAAGTAGCTGAAATAGAAGTCAAATATTTTTACAGGCTTGCAAACATAACAGACCAGATACTAGAATGCCCAATTAGGAATACAAGAAACTGTTATGTGGACAAATTCCAAGACATCTGGGGACAGTCCTCCTTGGTGTTTTATCCATAAGAATATAAGAGCCATGCTGGATCAGACCAAGGGTTCATCTAGTCCAGCACTTCTTCACACAATGGGCAACTAGCTGCTCACAGGAACCCACAAGCACAGTGTGAGTGCACTGGCACTGGCACCTTCTCACTCATGCCCTCCAGCAACTGGTACACAGAGGCACAGTGCCTTTGCTACCACAGAGAGCATATTTCCATCAGGATTAGTAGCCATTGTTAGCCTTAAGCCTCTATGAATATGTCCCATTCCCTATTAAAGTCATCCAAACTGTTGTCCGTCACCAGTCACCACATCTTCTAGAAGAAACAGAGAGCTTCAGCTGTGGGGTGGTATAGAAATGCAATAAATAAATATACATGTAAATGAAAATCTTGGTCAGATATTTCCTTTCCTGCACAGAGCTATATTTCTAGAAAATGACAGAAATTCATGGTTGTGGGGATAAATAAAATCTACCACCACAGCCATCCTTTTCCAGTGTATGAGAACCCATGAAAGAATGGCTGCCCAGTCCAGAGATGGTTGCAGGGCATGTGGTGTGAACTTGGAACCACTTTTAGGCTATTCTGAACTCCCTGAATGCAGAGCATGATAACTTACAAATAGAGGACAAAAATATAAACAATAGATCAGCATACTATAGCTTATGGGCACAGTCCTATGGCCTTCTGACATTGTCTGAGTAGCCATAGGATTATTCAGAGTCCCAGCTCCAAGGTCTTGCAACCATGGAGCTGGGACTCTTTTGCAGCCAACATGGAAAGAACTGCGCTGGCTGCTTCTCCAAGGTAGGCTTTGTGGAGGGCTAAAGGTGCGGGGCGTGGGGGGAAGGAAACCAGGGCCAATGTCTTAGTATCCACACGATGTCCCAGCCTCCTTCCCTCTCCATCTGCAGATCACCATCACATGCCCTGTATTGGACATGATGCTGTCATGCATCAAGAGTGGAAAAGGTGGAGGACCCTAAAGTTTTTATTGCCAATAACGAAACCTTAGGGCAGAAGTTTTAGTCTTCTAGAATAAAGCAAAAACTGCTCAAAAGCTGAGAA